AAATTATTAATGTAATTTTTAAGGGTATAATAAGAGAGGAATGAATTATCCTATGCCAAGAACATGATTAATCCTTCTTATAGTTTTATTCATTTTTTTAGATACAAATTAAACATAATATATGATTATTATTATTTTATCCCATCTATTATCCTATGCACTAAACATAATATATTATTTAACTTTTGCTGGTACAAGTATCAACTCTAAGCTTATGTTCTCACCTTATACTTTAAGTATATATCCTTTTTACTTTTGCCTGTTGATCAGACAAAAGTCAATTCTAAGCGTGGTTTTTCCTATTTAAGTCGTAAAACTCTCCATAATTTCTCACACCTCAAAGCAACCTTATTTCATTTTCTTAAAAATTTCGAGCAATTTCTTGATTTCTAGTGGATTTTCCAAAAGGTATGTGTTCTAATCTCTAGAATTGAAAACTTTGAAATGTATAATTTGTTAAAATTAAGCAAAAAAATGAAGCAATTACATTAGATAGTTTATTATTCGTGTTAAATGTTAATTTTATGCATATATTATCAAAAACATATTTGAACTTAAATCTTGTAATTAAGTTTTACATTTAAAGTTGCTTACTAGTGATTGAATCTAAAAAATTATATTATTTATTGAGCTCAATTGAGCACTTAAAAATATTTAATTTAATTAACCCTTTTACTTAAATAAAACATTTTAAAATTTGTGTGTGACATAATGTTTAGTACCTATAACATCCGTGACAATCTAAAAGTGATATATAATGACATTCCAATTGCAATAAATTTTAATATAATCTAGTAATTTTTTAATTACAATAAAAATTTATCATTTATAGATATGAATTTCATATATACACGTAATTCTAAGTTGTCAATAGTGCCTACATGTCACATATATGACCAAAAAAAAAAAGTTATACAGATAATTTTATATATGCCCCTGTTATTATATATGTGTCACATACGTGCTTCTGGTTTCTGTGAGTTATGTGGCATGTCATTTAGGTACAAACTGAATATGAATTTTTTATATATTCCATTGACCATTCTTTTTATTATAATTTTATATTTGTCTAATCATAACAAAAATTAATTATAAGTTATATGCTCATTAAATTTTCATTTTTTACTATATATAAGATGTTGATTTTAAAAAAATGATTTTATAAAGATACCAAGTACATAAACATTGACTTTATATAGATAATGAATTTTAATGATTTCATTCAAAATAAAAATTTTGTTAAATAAAACTAGTAATTTAAAAACTCATTTGGATATTAATAATATTGCTTATATGAGAGATTTAGAAAAATATATAGGCTTTTTAAGTTTTTTAGCCCTTTAAACTTTTATGAGTGTTAAATCAAGAGTGTGCTTTGATTAAACATTAAAAAAAAAATTTTTTGAAACCAAAATTTTCTTGGCCAATATTTATATATATTTAGAAAAATAAATATATAAAGCCAATAATTAAAAGTTATTTTTTAGTTATTGGCTTTATATATTTATTTAAAAATAATTAATTTAAATTTTATGTGATCAACTTAATTATTTACATTAAAATAATATTTTTTAGTGCTTATTCTTATTTTTTATTATGTTTAAAATTTTTATAACTCTTTTTTAAGATATTATTACACTTTAACATATTTTTGGCCAATTGATACAAATTTTATTATTTGTTTCACATGTTTATGTTCATATATTTCTAAATTTTTTAAAATAATAATTTCATTAACGTTGCCTTTTTTTTTTTTTTTGTTTTGCAAATATTTTTAGCCATTGGCTTTATATAAGTGCCAAAAAATAATTACTTTAAATTTTACATTTTTAACTAAATTATTTACTTTAAAATAAATCTTTTTGAACTTATTCTTATCTTTTATTACATTTAAAATTTTCATATCTTTTTTAAAGTATTACGACATTTCTAACTTATTTTATCAAATTAAAATGAATTTTATTCCTTTCACATATTTATGTTAGTACTTTTTTTTTAAAGTTTTATTTCAAAATATCAATTCCTTAAGTTGTCTTTTTTGTTTTGAAAGTATTTTTTAGCCATTGGCCTTATGTATTTTCAAAAAAATAATTACTTAAGAATTTTTTTTATCAACTTAATTATTTACTTTAAATAAGATTTTCTTACACTTACACTTATCTTTTATTATATTTAAAATTTTCATAACTTTTTTTTAGGATGTTACGATACTTTTAATTCATTTTATGCCAATTGAAACGAATTTAATTATTCCTCTTACCGGTTTATGATAAGAATTTTTAAAATTTTATTTTAAAATATTTATTCTTTGGCATTATTTTTTGTCTTGAAAGGAGTTTTACGTAATTTTTTAGCCATTGACCATATCTATTTATAGAAAAATAATTAATTTAAATTTTACATTATCAAATTAATTATTTATGTTGAAGTAATATTTTTTAGTTTTATGCAATTTTATGTTAATTAATTCAACTTTTTATTATTCTTATAATGTATTTATGATAATAAATTTTTGAATTTTTTATTTTCAAATATTATTTTTAACTTAATATTTTTTCATCCATTAAAGATTTTTTTAACAATTAGCTTATCTATTTATGAGAAATTAATTAATTTAAATTTTAGGTTGTCAACTTTATTATTTATATTAAAATAATATTTTTTATACTTACCTTCTATTATATTTAAAAGTTTCATAAATCTTTTTTAAGGTATTACGGCACTTTTAATCTTTTTTTATACTAATTGATATTAATTTTTATTATTCTTAATACATGTCTATGTCTGTAATTGTTTTTTTGCTTGTAAATATTAATTTTTTAACAATGTTTTTTTTTTTTACTTTAAAGTATTTACTTAACCATTGAGCTTATCTATTTATGAGAAAAATAATTTATTTAAATGTTACATTGTCTATTTATTTATTTAGGTTAAAATAATTTCTTCTAACTATATAAAATTAGTGCCTAAAAAATTTTTTTCTTATAAATATATAACATTAAAATAAGTTAGAAATATCGGAGCGATACAAATTTTAAATAAAATGGAAGGTAAAAAAATAAAAAAAAATTATTTTAACGTCCCTAAACCCAAGCCCTAAAGTCACAAATTATCAATACTACAATCTAATTTAAGAAAAAAATATGTTAATTGATATAGTGTATCTTTCAATCTGACCATTTATTCTTTTCCTTTTTACTTCTACCAATACAAAATACTTGTAAATCGTGTCTCTTTTGCAAAAGATTCATACTCGAGATTTATTTATTAATAACATACCATATAATCAAATTCGTTAATTTCACAAACTTACATGATAGTTTAATAAGTCAATTGCATAATAAAAGTTGGTAATAACTTAAATGCATATTTGACACAAGTTGGATGGGTAAATCAGGCGTAATTACGCCGAATTTGTATCATTTTAATTGAAGCTTGAAGATAAACACTTATGGTTACATCGTTGCCTTCTCCTTTGATATTGAATTATTCTCTACTCATTTTTGGCTTTGAATAACCTAATAAAGATTTATTCCAATCTAACTTATGAAGCCAAGAAGAAATAAAAAGAAACCAATTCTATTGTAATTAGGAAAAATAACACCATTCTTTGTTTTTTTTTCATTCAGATCTTTGTTGAAATCTCCAAGCATTTTCTTAATTCTTGACCAGTACCTGAAACAAAAATGGCTGAAGCTGCCATCGGTGCTGTCGTAGACGTGGCTCTATCCAAGGTTATCTCGTTCATTGAAGGACACATCGACCTCGCATGCGATTTTGAGGACGACCTGAACCAACTCTATGCCTCCGTTGCTCTAACTCGAGCTTTTTTGCAAGATGCAGAGGGGCGGCTACTTGATGAGCCTGTCAAAGCTTGGTTGGTGCAGCTTAGAGGTATCGCTAATAAGGCGGATGATGTATTGGATGAGTTTGCTTATGAACATCTTCGAATGAAGGTGGACACCCGAAAGAGAGCACAGGTCAGCAACTGCTT